TGGTATAAGTGTATTTATATCTATAGTGCAAATACGCACACACAACTAATGGAAAGCTAAGGTAATATTTCTACAGTAGGCTTTTATGAGCTTTCAAACAGTACTAATTTACATCGTTCCAATAATCCTGTTTCCTGATTGGACCTGTAAAAATCTAGGGGAAAAAAATCTAATTTTTCTAACAACATATGCAGAATATAAAACATAGAGCTTCGCAGTTCCTTGGCATTACAAGGATGCATGCCATTCTAACAAACTGCACCCTAAAGAAATCTACTTTCTAGCAACTTCAGTCAATTTTTTGCCCTTTTCTGTTCTATGCAATTTTCTTAATATAGTATCAGTTACTCCAGATTTATTACATATTGTTCCAGCAACCTTCCCCACAATTCTACATTTCTTAAAAAACCAAAGCAAATTGGTCATTATTTTTCTCAGAATTCTTGATGTCAAGAACAATTATTATTTTACTACTTATCACTCCAATTAGTAAATAATGATGTATTAAAACATTTGATACTGTTTTCAGGGAATTGATCTACCTAACTTGTGAATGAGGATGTCCTACTGGGCAATGCATTACTGCTTTTAACTTTCTGAATCCAACTATTAGTCCAGAAATGAACAACATTTTTTCTCTCTTCAAGAGGTGGCTGCTACTTTTACAGCAATGCTGTAGCTGCTTCTGGGGTTACCCCATTTCTTTGGGAAATCAGGAGACCTGGGCACCTGATAGAAGGGAATCCAAGAATTCTGATCCCTTGCTGTGATCAATACCTCTGAGTTTTGGCTAGTAGTATCAGTGAATAATCATGGGCAAATAATCCTTGCAGATTTCACTCCATCCATATTCAAGGGTTCTTTGGCTGAGAGGTAGGATTATCTTTCTGTGACATGTTCTTTGCAGTAACCATCTTGCTTGGGGAGGTAGTGTCTACTGATTCACTCAGTTGAAGCCAGTAAGAAAGGGTGTGCATGTTTTTGCATGGATACAAGAAGCAGATCTCTTATTCTGGATCCTTGCATTACCTTCCTGTTCCATACTGTGATGGGAAGAGAAAGGTGGCTGCTTAGTATCAAATCCACACCTTGGACAGAGATTTGGAGGCAGCTTATTCTGGGGCAGTGTTTCTCAACCTTGGCAACTCTAACATGTGTGGACTTCGACTCCCAGAATTCCCCAACCAGCTATGGCTGACTGGGGAATTCTGGGAGTTGAAGTCCATGTACCTTAGAGTTGCCAAAATTGAGAAACACTGTTCTGGGATGTGCTGCTGCCTCACTGACAATCACTTCAGCTTCTCTGCAATTTCTGAGGAGTCAATTTCCCTCTCCCTTCATGTGAGGAGGATGAAAATCCTACTCCAGACACAATGAGCCTTTTTACAGCAGATGACTTCCTCTCATTCCTTTAAAAAGTCTGCAAGGCACTGGGGCAAAAGAAGTGCTAACAAAATCATCTACTTGAGCCAGAATCATCAGATTCTGGAGTAGCAGTTTTCCCAGTCAATTTGAATAACACACCTGCATTCCCTTCCCAGGAGCCTTTAACAAAGTGATAGAACAATTGTGGGCTCACCTTCCCTGAAGGGTTTCAAACAGGATATTGGACACTGTAGTTGAAACAACAATCAAAGAGCAGGGAATTATCGAGGTTGTGGCCGTGACTCAGGGATACCTTTTTGTTCTTGACTAAAATTGTGGCATTCATTATCACAGTGTGAAGATGTCATGAAGATGAATTTTTATAACAGTTGTAGAGCTGGGATACTTTAGTAGATGCAGCCTAAGCAACATGTGCTCTATCAAATTTGGGCAGCAAATGTGTTCCTTAAAGCCCTGTAAATCATCCTGTTATACAGGTTTGTTACTGTTTAAGGTAACCCTCCCTTCTTTCCCACAGGCTTTTCGAGTGCTTTCAGAGCCCATAACAGTGGAGTCTCCTGCTGAAAATAACCTAGAGCATCAGCATGCCTGGTGCTGCTCGACAAAGCCAGAAAAGGTCTACTGCGGGATTAGCCGAATCTGGGTATTCAGCCTGATGCGGAGGAAGCACATTGCCAGCCGTTTGGTGGATGTGATGAGGTAAGGAAGTAGTGCTGGGTCCAGTCTGAAAATTTTGTAACCCAAAATATGGCACAATCATCTTATTTTTAGATAACCTTTTCTTGGAATATAGGTGTTTTTCAGCTAATTATAAAGAGGGTATATACTCATGAAGCAAATGTTAGGAGCATGATCGCACATGCCATATATAGCAGAGTGCTGAGAACACCTTGGACATTGGTGCCTTCCTCTAATTACTCAGCACTTTCCATTTTATTCAGCTAAGTACTGGATGAGATGATTTCCTTTGACTTTCTTTTGTCAACGTAATAATTGATTTAAACTTTTATTAAATACATATAATAAACCTAAATAACCACCAAAGAATTGGATTCTTATTCTACATTGATACTTTTTTCTTCCAGGCAAACTTTTTTATTTGGCTGTTACCTAAGCATCAATGAAATCGCCTTTTCAGATCCAACACCAGATGGAAAGCTATTTGCAGCAAGATATTGCAAAATACCCAACTTCCTCGTTTATAATTTCATTAGTTAAGACCAGATTTGTAAAAATGCGAAGTGGAGTTAATGAGCCCTTCTCTTCTTTCAGCAAGGGCTCCTATTTTACAAAATGTGGTCATTGCTGTTATTGCATTGTTTTGTGCTTTAATGTGATAATGTAAATTTGAATTAGTAACATACCAAGTGTGTATTTGATATGTGAATTGCTTTGAAAAAGTTAATTCTGGAAGTTAAAAACTTCTGAAATTGATTATAAAATTTAGAATGTGTAAGAAAAGAACTACGTATGGCTCCTACTGCTCTAGCTCTTTATTGCTACTGCCTCCAGTGTGTTGTTTTTACACTTCTGGCAGATATGCTGGTTTGCTTGCAGATGGATGACAAGGTTTAGCAAAAGAAACTCAGTGCTGAGACTGAATAAACAGGGATGGAAAATGTGTTCCTGAGCTAATTTCCAGCATCTTTTACCAATGGCTGGCTATGGCTGTTCAGCAACATCTGGAAGGCCATAATTTTTATAGACTAGGAAGAGATAAAGTACAGGGGGTACTCTAATGCTGCTATGGACTAAGATTTTAAAATTATTTTTGCACCTGTTAGTGGAAACACAGTACTGAGACTAGTTTTTGAAGCTCTAAAGCGTTGGAGGTAACTGCAGAAGTTGGGTAGGCTATGTCTGACAACTACTGCAATTCTTGCACTAAACACTGCTGGACCAAGCCTATTCAAATAAATATTTTTGTGTATTAAACTTTATTTGATATATATGCAGTAAATGTTTGTTTATAAAATTTATATGCTGTCCCAGTCAATCATCTCTGGGTGGTTAACCATAAAAAGTGGACTTGCTAGTTAATCTTTTGAGTCAAATGTGTTCTTTATACAACCTACCTGCTAGCACACAGAAAAATGCAGTGAATTGTAGAACCTATAAATCCAAACTTTAGCAAGTAGCCTCCTTGACCAAGAAAGAATACTAATACTATATTCTTCTGTAAGTGGCTGTCCCTCAGTTTATAGGATAATTTAACTTATTTGATCCACACAGCCAGACTGGTTCTATAGGTACCCATGATATCACTGTATAGAAAAAGTACACTTCAAGCCATTATTTCAAATGATAACACCTCCCCCCTCCCTTCAAAGCACTTCAATCATTAACTTTTTTTTTATTTTTAGGTCACTGCAATACTTTTTTATTCCCTTTTCT